ATTTTAAACAAAAAGCTCTTTCTTTTTGCATTTTTTTCAACGAAAATGGAATATTTATCTATTTACTTCCGGTGATTATTGAAATAAACCTTATATTTTTTTAAAAATAAATTTCTCCTCATACTTTCAAGTTAAATGAAAAATTAGTCCTCCAACTTTTTGTTTGAAATAAATTAGCCAAATTTTAACAAATGATATAATTATGGAAAATGATGTATGCACCCACCGGTTCAACACCCGGCGGTGCATACTCCATAAAATATATTTCCATAAAATATATTTCCCTAAATCCTTAACTCTGCAGCCATTCACGGACTTTTGGCCTATTTGTGCATCCAAACACGAGGCAACCCTGATTTTTTCCTCTCTTTTCTCATAAACCAAACAGTAAAACCATCACAAGAAATTCTAGCAATTAAAAAAGAATCATTAAAAGATAAACTAGGCAATATCATAATTCTACAATTAAAATCAGTTCACATTTATTTCTTTTATTTTCTCAGAAACCAAATAGCTAACACCACAAGATAATTCTAACTGATCATTTTGAAACAAACCCATATTTCAATTACCTGCAAATGAAATGAATTAACGAAAATTTTCTACAATCTTATGAATTTCATTACAAAAATCAAATCACAATTAAATTTAGAAAAAACAAATCTCAATTTTCTATTACTGCCTCTGCTTATCTTCATGTTCTGTTGCCCCAATCGTGGGTTGCAACAACAACGCCGTAACTGGGTTCTCCATCGCAGATTTCCGAGCCGGTGGCGCGGCCTACGCCTGCTTCAGCTTGACCAACAACTCCACCACCACCCTGTCGTCCGTCATCGCCACCATCACCCACTCGTCCTTCACTGCCATCATCATACCCACAAAAACCCAGTCCAGAAAACCCAGAAAATCCAGAAAACAGAGAATCACCCAGGTGGTGTAGCTTAAAGTGAGAGAACCCAGATCGAGTTCTTACTAAGAGAACCTGTGGGTTCTTCTTCAAAACCCAATCTGGGTTCTTGGTAAGAACCTGATCTGGGTTCTCCAAGAGAACCCAGATCGGGTTCTTATGGAGACACCAAATCTAGGTTCTCCAAGAGAACGTGGGGAAAAAAAAAAAGAGGAAGAAGAAAAGAGAAAATCCCCAAAACCCAGGCCTGTTTCTCCGCGGATTTGAATTGAATGTGGTAGGGATTCAGCAGAGAATAAGCCAAGGATAGGCCAACCAATGTGAGGAAAATATATTTTAATAGATGGACCGGTGGTGTGTAGCATGGGGTGTGGGTTTAGGGTGTGTACGTATCATGATCCTATAATTATACGTTATCATTCCATCATTTTCTTTTAGTATACATTAAACTGTTGTTGATTTTACAATCTTGGGGCTATTTTTTTGATGAAATGACATTAATAAAAATGAGCACAAGATTGGCAAATCAACAAGAGCTTAACGTGTATTGAAGGAGAAAGACAAAACTACCCTCAATCCAACAATTTTAGTTGTATAGTCCAATGTAGTCCTGACTACACAAGACTTTTTTAGATAAAATATATCCTTTTCTCTATTTTTTTGTTTACTCTCTTTTTTTTCTAATATTAATAACTTGTTTGGTTTGAGTGGAGAGGAGGGGAAGGAAAAGAAGTAGGTGAAATTTTCCTATTTGTTTAACAAAAAATTTTTGGAGATTTGGTAAAATTAAGGATACAACCTTTCTAAAATTTTCTAATTGAGGTATGGCTTTTTTTTATAACTAATTAAAGTTATCACCTTTTAAAAGTTTTTAATCGAAGATATGACCTTTGTAATTTTACTAACAAAGGATTAAGCAGATATGCATGCTGATCTAGCCACCACCATTTAGAAAAAATAAAGGCAAACCAAGGATAAGCAAAATCTATTAGTCATGTTAGCAGACACATCTACTTTATCCTTTATTAGTAAAATTAAAAAGGCCATATCTTTAATTAGAAACTTTTGAAGTAATCTCGATTAACTATGAAAAAAAGTTGTATTTTCAATTTAAAAATATTAGAAAAGTTGTATTTTTATTTTTACTAAATTTCAAAATTTTTGAGAGGAAAGGAAAGTGTTTTCTTTTATTTTGCTTAACTTCTTCTATATTTTAATCTAAGCAATAAGGCAAAAATCTAACCGAGCAAGGAGAAAGGAGAGAGGACTAAAATTCTTTTCTTGCCTTTCCTTGCCATCCACTTACCCCAAACCAAACAAACTAACCCTATGTTTAGGTTGAAGGGAATAGAGGCCATGAGAAGGGAGGGGAGGAAAATTTTTCCGCTCCAATCTCCTTCATTCCCTTCCCCTCACCTCATTTACCCTCATTTCGATAAGTAACTAAATTAAAAGAAAAAATAAGGTAAAGGTAATTTTTAAGGGTATTCATGGTGTGATTTGGTTCAGATTTTAATTTTTTTAAACGAATCCAATTTAATCTGTTAATAAAATTTTTAAACTAATCTAATCCATTATAATAACCAAACTAATCCAACTTAAGTCGATTGGTGTAATTTAGTCATATTATTCGGTTTTTAACATTATTAAATATATAAGATAATGTACAAAATTTTAATATCAAGTAGAAAATATAACTATAAAATATATTAATATCCAAATCAATAAAAATATAATTAAAAAATATAAATTATAAACAAGTTCTTATACTCCTTCACAATTGTAAACATTGAAAAAAAATCTTGAAATTCTTCTTAGCTACATCATTAGAGACACCAAAGATAATAAAAAATGACTCCAAATTTCAATTTCAAGTACAATGCAAGTAATTTTAAAAGTTAAAACTAGTTTTTTTTTTTTCTTAATGCACTAATAACTTAATCTAATTTTTCAAACCTTATTAAAAGTGAATAAAATTTAAAATAAATATCACTATAATTGATTAGAAACATTCATCATCAAGATTTAAAACTCATCAACCAAACATTCAATAATAGCGGAATATCAAGACTAGTTTTATTATGAAATTTTAAGACTTAAAGAATTATACTTTTTTAAAACTTGATTAGGAGAATCAGAATATCATTTTAAGAACAAATTAGAAATTTAGGGTTTTAAAAATAGAGTTGCAAATTAATTCTAAGAGATAGAGTTCTAGATGAATTAAAGATTAAAAATTAAAAATTAGAGGTAGAGTGCATGATTAAAAAATAATAATAAATTACCTAATATGGAGATATTTTATTTTTATTTTTAATTAAATAATAGAGTTATTATCTTGTGAAACAAAAAGAAAATTTAAAATATTAAAAAAATATATTATATTATTTAATTAAGTTATTTTATAGTCAGATTTTATCTTATAATTGGACGATTCAAACGATTTAAAAGTAAAATTATAAATCAAATTAATTATATTAATTTTAAAATTTTATAATTCATGTTAATTTAATTTTATATTAATTTAGTTTGGTTTTTACTCGGATCGGTTTAATTATAAAAGATTGATTGACTACTTTATTTTATTTTATTTTTATTTTATTTTATCTTATTTTATTTTTGGCTTCTCCATCGCTGAAACTGGTTGATTCTCTGCTACCAAAACTGAAAAGAAGATAAGTTAGATTGATTACAGTCGAAATGGCCCTAGCTCCAAATTCCGTGATAGTCCACAACATGGCTATCACTTTCCCATCCCGAAAGCTCGGAACCGTTGAAACCTACCACCGTTATAATCATTCTAAACCCAACTTCCATTCCTGTTCGCAGTCTCAGCAAGTTAGTCGAATCGCTACAGCGTCTTGCCTGCCCAGTAGCACTCTCTCTGATGTTCACTTGCACAGCTCCAATACTTCCGCCGTTGATGCCGCTGCTAATTGTAAGCCCTTGTTTTGCTTAAGTTTCTCTCCTTTCTTTCTTTGTTGCCGTAACAATCTGAAAGATGGTTATTTCAAGTGGATGAACATATTAATTTCACAAAGTATTCAGTGAGAGGGACCCACCATTTGATGTTCTGGTTGGGGTACCAGTTTGTTAATTGCTTATTTATTTCTACTTAGGAAACAAAAAGCCCATGAAGCATGACTTTACGCATCTCAGTTTTCTTTCATTTTTCTTGGCCGTATAGATTCTTGCCGCATACTATTGTTCCATAAGACATAGTTGCACGGTTTTCTTAGTTGAATATGCTGTTTATATTTAGGAACTTCTGTTTTCTTAGGGAGAATTCAACCTTAAACTATATCGCCTGGAGGAAAAGGTCCATGTTACTTTAATTCAACTATTCGCGGCTAAGGTTTACTTTTCTGAGGATTGGATTAGAATAAGGAGTATAAATTGATTATTGATTGGCCAAAAAGAAAAAAAAAAAGAAAAAAAAAAAGATTCGAATAAAGTAAAAAAATAGTTAATACCCGCTTCATCTATTTCATCATATTATCAACCAGTTGGGAACTTGAATAAATACAATTTTAGTGTCTTAGATTAGTAAGAAAAAACTTTCTAATATTGATCTCTTTCTTTTTGTCAAGCTTGGTCAGCATTTGCTAGAAATGTTTCTGGGGAATGGGATGGGTATGGAGCAGACTTCACAGGGGAAGGGGTTCCAATTGAACTTCCAGAGTCTGTTGTACCGGAAGCTTATAGGGAATGGGAGGTTAAAGTGTATGATTGGCAAACACTGTGTCCTACTCTTGCTGAACCCAAGGAAAATGTTATGTTTTACAAATCAATAAAACTCCTTCCTACTGTTGGATGTGAAGCAGATGCTGCAACACGGTATAGCATTGATGAGAAACATATTGGGGGTCCGGATAATACAGTTTCTGCCTTTGCATATGATTATAGAGGATGTTATATTGCTGTCTGGCCAATTAAAGATGACGGTACACATAAGGTGTTGGAGTTGGAGCATTGCTTGACCAATCTCAAGGATTGTGAATCTCGAGTGAGGATAATTCAGACTGTCCGTGTGGATGGTTTAAAGACTATTTTGCAGAACATTAGAATTTTCTGTGAACAGTGGTATGGTCCATTTAGAAACGGTGACCAGCTTGGTGGATGTGCCATCTGTGACTCAGGATTTGCTTCTACAGGTGCACTAGAAGCCTCTGAAATCATTGGTGTATGGCAGGGACCTAAATTTATCACTAGTTTCAATGGTTCTGAGAATGTGAGTTTGAAATTTTCCTTCTTTTACTTAGCTAATAATATTTTAATACTGAATTTTGAAAAAGAAAAATAAAAAATTATGTTTGATTAGAGTTTGATATATATTTTCCTTGCAAGTACAGTTTTTATAGTAAAAATGTCATTTGGCTTAACTCTTTTGACTCTTCTTACCTGGCATTGTCCCTCTTTAACCCTTCAAGCATGGAAACCCATCACCTTTAATGGGATTTACCTTTGTGGGTTCTTATGTTTCATCAACACTCACTAATTTGAGATGTGATTTACTTTACTTTAGATATTCATTATGACAGTTATGATAAAAAAACATATTGTCAGTTTAAAAGATGCATATGATCTACAGAACATCTTCTTTTATAAGAAATTTTCTAGGATCATAGAATGTTAATGAACCATACATGAATCCTTTAAAACAAAAGAAAATATATATTTTGGAAAACAGAAAAAATATTAAGACTTATTTTGAGTAGTGTTAGGAATAAGCTTCTGCATTAGTACTTATATATAATTTGTGAAGCCTTTTCTTGTCATTCAAAGCCTCATATCTGTCGGTTTATTTATGAATAATTTGATTTCTTAGTCATTGCAGAGGATTTGAACAATAACTTGATTCATTTAGGTAGCATTAGTTTATCATTGCTAAGAATTTTCCTAGTGTTTAAAGCTCTCAGACCTATATTATTTCTCACACATTACAGAAAAACTTTATCCTAGTAATTTTTGTTTGGCCCTTGAGACATTAAGTTTTGGCTCCCTTTATCTGGAAAATGCTTAAGATGTATACTCTTTTTGCTTTTACATATCGTTACCAAACTCTTTGAGTAGCATATTTGAGCCACTTTAGGTGAATCTTATCTATCTTTTCATGGAAGAACTCAAATGCTTCAGTCATACTTCTTGCATTCACTAAATCTGAAACGGGGAACATCTATCTCCATGTTTCTGCCTTTGCCCCTTTTTGGTGTGTCAGTTCCTTTGTTGTGCAGTTGGGGCCTCAATGGTTTAGTATTTAGGATGGGCCATTATGCCACTGAAACCTGCAAAATGCTTGTTGATTATTGTAATTGAAATACGTACTTGTTTAGTATTTAGTATTTATTGATTGTTTATTTATTTATGAGTTTCATACTCTTCTCAAATGTAGTTTATTGTCAAAACCTTAAAAAGTAATTGTTTATCACCCTGGCTACTAATATACAAAGTTCACTGTTAATGAATTGTTCTATTACCTCATGAGAGTTTTTTATGAACTTGTTCCCAGAACTTTCTTCAAGAACTCAAAGATGATGGAGTGTTGAGGTCAGTGAGAGATGAATGCAACCTTGTTTTGCTTCCCCGGCAATTATGGTGTTATGTGGAAGAAAGTGAATTTGGTGAAACTTGCCATGAAGTTGGATGGCTGTGTGATGAAGGACGTGCTATTACATCAAGATGCATCTTTTCAAATGAGGTGAAGTTAAAGGCAAGTTTGGTACTCCAACTTTCAGAGGTTTTTAAGTTTGTGATTTTAACGTCTTATCAAATATTGATTACCAATGCAAAGGGAGGTCAGCCCTGTGAATCACTTATTGTTACAACATGCTTTATGTCTAGTATACAGAATTCCATGCTTCTTTCACTATGGTGGAGGCCTCATCAAGTTATGATACCATTCAATCAAAAATTAAGTTTTCCAACCTGCATTATTTTTTGTTCTTTTGGGGGTGGTTGGGAGTGTGGTATGAATAAAACAAGCTGGAAAACTTGGTTCTTGGTTATGGCCATTCTCTATAAAGTATGAACCAGTTTGACCTTGAAACGAACTTACTCTTGTCTCTTTGGCAGGAAATTTCAATAGCAAACCAAACTAAAGCCTTGGAAGCTGCATAGCTAGTGATGAGTCAAATTCTGTTTTTGCCGAGGTTCGGGAAACCAGTTTATTACTCTTGTAATATTACTTAACTGTTCAAGATACATCAAACAAATGGTATTCTATCTCTACAGAGTTTTGTTTTATTACAATTTAGTATGTATGTTATCAAGTCCTGTTATTGCTGAGGTTCGAGAAACCATGTTATTACAAAACATCACTTAACCGTTCAAGTTAAATCAGACAAATAGTATTCTATCTCTACAAAGTTTTGTTTTATTATCATGCTGCATGACCATCAGTCGTGTTTTGGTGGTTGAGTTGTGTCCCTAGCCACTACCACCACAAAAAAAAAAAAAAGGGAAAAATGGTATGCCACATGGGTAGATTCGATCTATTGTTCCTTGCATTGTGGTTTATCTCCAGGTGATGGATGAGATTATTCAGGGGATGATTCTGTTTGGTTAAACTAATTGAACTGATACTCGATAGTATAAACGGTTTGAATGCATCTTTTAAATCATTTGAAACCAGTAAGAACCATTGAAACTATTCAAACCAATAAACCATTCGATTAGATAGTTCAATGATGGATGAGATTATTCAGGGGATGATTCTGTTTGGTTAAACTAATTGAACTGATACCCGATAGTATAAACGGTTTGAATGCATTTTTTAAATCATTTGAAACCAGTAAGAACCATTGAAACTATTCAAACCAATAAACCATTCGATTAGATAGTTCAATGCTTGGGCATAAAAACTTGAGAAATTTGTTTCTCACATAACTTGAACTTACAACTTTGAAGGTAGTCTTCCTCCAATTTTTTGCCATCGCAGCAAGGCAATTGTTGTGTAAATGAATGCTTGGATTTTATTTATTTAATAGAAATCTCAAAACTTTTAATCAGATTATTGATGACAATTATGGAATTCGAACACCCATTTTCCATGTTATATAGAACAAAGACTCTTCTACTTGAGATACAATCTTCTATTTACAATTTTTTACTTTACAATATATTTATTCTATTTTTATAACTACAATTATATTAAAGTTTATTTTTAAAGGGACTCAAACTAGTGATGTTTCTAATAAGAAATCGACCACCTACCACTACACCCAATAAATACCTTATGAAATATTTTACATAATAATATATTTATAGTATTCTGATCAATTCAATGGTTTTACCGATTAAACTAGTTAAACCGTTCAAATCGTAAACTAAAGGTCAAAATGATTTGACCTCCGGTTCGAGTTTAAAAGCATTGATTTGGAGGAGAGAAGTAAGATGGAACAAGGGGACAACTTTTTCCTACTTTGCGTGTAGGCCCTTCAACTAATTTTGGACTAGATAACCCCTTATATTGCCCAATCATAGAAAATTACCCCCTAAGTTAACTGCCACAATTTGTATCTGTTAAAGTGGCTGATGTGGCAAGCATCTGCCGTAAGCTATATGTTTAACATGACTTTAAAAAATTATTAAATTGACTTCAGTCCATCAACTATTTAAATTTCAAAGGAAAATAATTCCTAAACTTTAACTAATTTACTAAGTAACCACAAAATAGAAAACTTGGATAATGAATCCTCTCCTCTATAAGTTGTTAGTGAGTAGAGTAACTCATGAGTTAGTCGAATTAAACTTAACTCAAACTTGACTCTTTTGATAAGTGAGTTGAACTCAAACTTAAAATTGAGGTTGAACTTGAGCTCAAGTCTACATGACTACTCTAAGTTATTCACAATTACTTAGTTTTAAATTAAAAATTTTATTATCTTAATATATTATAAAAGTTGTTAAAATCTTTAATAAATCTCAAATAAATACCTAATAGACTTTTAAAAACTCTTAAAAATTCTTTAATAAATTTGTAATATCCCAAAATTTTGGGAAATTTATCATTTAAGTTAAGGATTGTTATGAGAGGAAATATTGTTTTGAGCTTAATAACCAAAATATCCAAACTTGAGGGACTTAAAGAGGGAAAATAATTGGATAAGGATCCACTATTTTTTCCTTCTTTTTCTTCCCCAGCCATTTCGCGTTCTTCTGCTCTTCCCGACCCTGCTGCAGCCCGAACAAAAAAAAAGAAGAAAAGAACCCAGCAAGCCGACAGCCTTTCTTTGAGAAACCGGTAGGAAAAGCTTGGTTTTGCCTTCCTTTTCTTGTTCAAAAACCAGATTTGAGCTTAGAAATCTTCCCCCCCTGCAGAATTTTCGGATCTGCCCTGCTTTGCTCTGTCCTTCCGCCTGCTGCTCCTGCTTTGTGGGGGTGATTTGCTCCGGTTTTGGGTAAGAAACAGCTACCAATCCCTCTGTTCTTCTTTGAATTGGCTTGGGTTAACAC